AATCGCGACCTGGGTGACCAAAACCGTAAGGCGCCGGGAGAACCTCGAAGTTCTTCCCAAGCGCCCCCCCTCCCCTCCGTTGGATTGGTAGGTGTAGTGGTAAGGTGCAGGGGTGACATGCCAGGGGTCGATGGTTCAGTTCCTGTCAATATTTTTAATTTTTTGCTTTTTGCTGTTTTCGCTTTTATTTTGCCGAGAGAGAGTCTAGAAAGTGTTTTCGAAAGTTTTTCGGTCCTATGAATCCCTGAGAAGTTGCCTAGGGCAGAAAAACAAAATTTCGAAAATTTTGAAGTTTTGTAAAAAGGTCTAGCTACCCATTCCAGCTGGATGGAAATCAGCTGAATAGTTAATAATAATTATTTTTGAATCAGAATTGTAAAAATAGAATTATTCCGGCAATCTGAAATATTCCGGTGCTCAGATTTGAAGCGCCTAGGGAGCCAGAACCACCTATTTTAAGCAGTTTCCATTCTGCCAGGATCCGGGACCATAGGATAGGTCGGGAATTTTTCATGAAAAAATTTTTTCAGATCAATTTTTTTTCGGGTGTGGAAAGGTGTTTAGTGTCATGGCGGCTATGAAAATTCCATCAAAACATTTTTTTCCAAGCCGTAAGGCCCAATAAAGCGGTTAAAAGTGCATTTTAGAAGCACTTTTTTTCCTTTAAATGAAAAGTTTATTAAACAAAAGTGCCCATTGGCAGGTAATTTTTATCACCTCGTTTTCCCCGTATTTTATTTGATTTTTCCACCAATTTTGAGCCGTTTTGGAGTCTGTGACCCCACAACCTCTACATGTTAGAATCTAAGTTTTCATATATAAATACTAGAAGTGTTTCTAAATGTTTTTTTGCCATTCCTAAGCGTGAAAACTTCATAAATTTTTATTAAACAATATAAAAAATAGGATTTTTCTACCAAAAATGGCCGATTTCGAACTTTGCAAAACTTTTAAAAGGTTTTTAGATAGTTTTTCTAGTCGAAATATAGTTATTTTTTACTAAAAACACTATTAACACGCTTTCTGTCAATTTACTATACATTTCTAGACTTCTACAAGAAAAAAGTTACCCCCCCCCGATAATGCGAAAGGACCAATCTTACAAAGCTTACCTCCGTCAACGATTATCACGTATTCATCGGGATCGCTTTCGGATGAGACCGCTTCGGACAGACGGAAGAAGCTGAAAAGCTAAGATTCGACCCAGAAGCTCGTGCTCACCTTTGGCTTCCATTGCGTGGAGGCGCCGGCTCGTCGTCAGAGTCGGAGAGCGATCGGATTGACATGGAACTTTCGGATCCGGATGGCTTCTAAAGAGGAGATGGAAGAGATAAAAGTAGTCGTACCCCGACGCCGAGATGAGCGGAAGCTGTTGGGTGCACAGGTAGGGTGATGGATGTCTGTTCTTCATCCCGCCATGGAACGTCGATCGCTTGTGATGATTCCTGAGAGATGTTAGTTACGGAATTCATCGTTTTTATTAAACTTTAAAAACATGCTTTTAAAACCAAAAATAGTAGATTCTCGAAGGCTGCTAGACTTACGTGGATAGTCGGGAAATCAAAGGCGGCCTTCGACGCGGCCGAATCGGGCGTGATCGAGGGCATTGGGGTTCGTCTACCATAATATCGTTGCACCTAAGCATCAGATAAAAAACCCTTTTTATGAAAGTTCTTCGTTTCCATCTTTACTTTAAGTTTTTCAAAGTCATAAATTTATCAACGGTTGCAAACTTAATTTGAA